CAACAATCACCCCCCATTTTTTTTTTTTTTTAAATTGTGGAGTGTTCAGGGTGACATGAAGCTCGGAGAATAGTGGAACTGAAATTTAAAAAGCTGAGAAAAAGGGAATATTCACCCAGGAAACATAAACTGTATTTTTTTTTTTACTATAATAATATATTGCACATATAAGAAACATAGATTTCCTTTTACAAAGAAGTCAAACGTTCTACTTGTGTTTAGTCTCCCCAGATTTCCTCAGTATTTATGCTTGCAATAACTTTTGAAATGATCAGTCTTTAAAAGCTTGATCATGATTGGCTTTCATCATTGAATTTCTAGATAGGAGTATAATTTAAATGTTAATATTCATTACTGTATCTGTACTTGTTGCACTGAGTGGATAAATAAGGGAAGCTATTGCTTGGGAACCATAGTTTTTTCCTTTGAGTTAAGCAAGCGTATGTTGAATACTTATAGAGAACTTACTATAAACACTTCATAGGTAGTATGTTTTCCTCTAGACATCGTTAGCAGTGTATTACATTGCGTCTGGCTGGGATGGAGGTAACATTCCCCATAGCAGCCCTCCTAGTGCTGTGCTTTGTATTTGTAGCTAGAACAATGTTGATAACGCAGCAATGTTTTGGCTGCTGCTGAGCGGTGCTCGCATAGCATCAGGGCTGTCTCTCCAGCTCCCCACTATCCCCCCCAATTAGGAGGAGTGTTGCCAGCAGGTCAGGGGAGGTGATCCTTCCCCTTTACTCAGCACTAGCGAGGCTACACCTGGAGCGCTGGGTCCAGTGCTGGGATCACCAGTAGGAGAGAGACATGGACACATTGGAGAGAGTTCAGTGTAGGGCCACCAAGATGATGAAGGAACTGGAGCATCTATCCTATGAGGACAGGCTGAGAGAGCTGTGAATGTTCAGCCTGGAGAAGAGAAGGCTCAGGGGGATCTTGTCAATATCTGTAAATACCTGAAGGGAGGGTGCAAAGAGGACAGAGCCCAGCTCTTTTCTGTGGTGCCCACTGCCAGGAGCAGAGGTGATGGGCACAGACTGTGAGGGTGATGGAGCACTGGCACAGCTTGCCCACAGAGGTTGTGGAGCCTCCCTCCTTGGAGGTATTCAAAAGCAGTCTGTACGTGGTCCTGGGCAACTTGACCCTGCTTGAGCAGGGGTTTCGACCAGAGGACCTCCAGAGGTCCCTTCCAGTGTCAACAATTCTGTGATTCTGTGGTTCTAAGCTGCTTAAAACGTCCTCAACAAAACATGGGGAGAAAACAGCATGGGGTCTCTCCCTCGGGCTGAAGTTCCTTCAGGACAAACCTGCCCTACTGTGATCTCTTCCATGGGCTGCAGAGGAACTCTTCTCCAGCACCTGGAGCACCTCCTCAGTCTCCTCTTTCACTGACCTTAGTGTCTGCAGGGCTGTTTCTCCCACATTTTTCTCACTCCTTTTTCTCACAGCTGCTGTGCAGCGTTTTTTCTCATTCTTAAGTATGTTATTAGAGCCACCACTGTTGTGGCTGAGGGCAGGGCAGCCCCGGCCTCTCCTCAGAGAGGCTGCCTCTGCCAGCACCTGGGTACCTGCACCCCGTACGCACACACTGCTGTGCCACCCCTGCCAGGGACGGGGCACTGGGCTCTTACTGTGAGCTTCTGTTCTTATCCTGAGAAGACATTTTCAAAGTGTTGATACGTCGTTGTAGCCCAGGCACAAGACAGTTCAGTTTCAAACATATTTCCGACAGTTCTTTGCATTTCAGTATCTGAGTTCAGTCTGAGAACAAATGCGGTGTTATAATTAAGTGTTTTGGCTCTCATTCTATGTTGTCAATCTTTGATAACAAACAACCTGGGAATCTAATTTGTTTTACTGGATTTCGTTAAGGCTTGGAATATCACTAGAAGGCTGCTTGTTTGTCTGTTATGTCTATTTGTTGATTTTTAACCTCTAAATCTCTTATATTAGTCTAGAAATCAGTTTTGTGTAATGCCTCTCAGTATTGATTGATAGAGTGATTGATGGAGCTGGCTGTCTTTTGGGAAGCAAATGCAGTGATAGACCTTTAACAGAAAGGCAGCAGAACAGCGTTACATTACGGAGGCCTAATTGTAAGGTTGTGCTGGGCATAGTCATCTGAAGTCTGCAGTGTCTGTGCTGCACTACCTCGTGTGAATAGTGGGTGGTTTTGGTGGTGGATATTCTGGGTGCTGCTGTTATTTTGATGTGTGTTATGTTACATAGGACATTATTTGGAAGTTTCTATTTATGACATTATATTTGAAAGTAATCTGACAGCCATCTTGAAAGATTATGGTGAAAGATTATGAAAGTGGTAAATAGGTTACTTATTCCTAAAATAAATTTTTTTTTTTCCTCCCAGAAAAGGAGCAAATCGATACCTGACTGTAAGGAAGAAGGATGGATCAGAACTAACACGTGCGGTAATGACTTGTTGCTTGGCTCCCAGCACGAAACATGCTGTTCGGAGTTTAATTCAGAGATTTCCTGTCACAAATAAAGAACGAACAGAACTTCTGCCAAAGACAGAGCGAGGAAGTGTGTGTGCTGTTGAATCTGGTACGTTCAGTGTGTCTTCTGATATGGACTGGTGAATCAACACTGCTTAAAAAAAAACAACAACAAAAAACAACAAAAAACCAACCCACAACCCAATGACAAAACAAAAACCTTTCTTTTCTGTCTCCCCTCCTGTCCCAACTGAAACCCTCTAAACAAAACAAACACATTAGTTTTCTTGACTTTTAATTGTTAATATAGGGTCTTTTAAAACTGGTGTCATGAGGAGCTTAGGCAGTCATGTCACCCACATTCCAATGTCTCCCTTATGCCATGTTACTTTTGAATCTTTGAGCCAGTTCCAACCAAACTTTTTTGAGAGTACATTTCTAAAATGTGGTTCCTGCAAGTCCCATAAGGTGAGATTGAAGAGAGGAGTGTTACCGTGACTGTCATATAAGAGCACCCTTATGAGAAAATGAGACTGGCTGTTCTGCTTGTAGAAATTCCTGTTCTTGATAAAATAAGTTTATTTTTTTGTTCCGTTGGCTTCTAAAATAGATTTTGTCCCTAACAGACTACTATCTAGACTTCTTGATTTCTAGAATAGGAAAGTTTGTCTTCCTTCTTCACTGGAAGACAAACTTATGAAGTGTTATGTTTTTTTTTTTTTTTTTTTTAAACAATGCTTTTAACAAGATTATTGCTTTGAGAGTTATGAGCGTAAGAGTTATGTTGTGTTTCTGTGCAAAAAGCTGGGCGTAGTGCACAGAAAACACTTGTACCAGTATGCCTTGTTTTATTGGATATTTCTGATTTATGATGGTTCATGCTTTAAGTGCTTCCTTTGCTAGTTTTCTTTTTCAGTTGTTTCAGTTGTTTTATAGGGTTGTTTAATGAACAGAGAGAAACTGTAATAAAAGTACTGAAAAGCAATTCCTTAGGAATGTAAGGCATAAACTAATGAATACTGTAAACTTTATCTTTCTTTACTTCTCCAGAATGATTTTTGGCTCTTTTAATCTGTCAGCCTGTGTCTGTCTTGGTAAGACAGTGCTTGTAATTTAATATATTGATCTGTAAATCACATTAAATATGTATGATTGAATTTACAACAAGCTTTTCATTCTTCTGGAAAATAATTATTAAGGAATTATAGAATAGCATTTACAATGCTGGATTTGAAGTAGTCTCCTCTGAAGACGTGCAGGTGCTTTGGCTGCTTAGGCATTGCTTTCTAATACGTCACACTGTGCTGTGTGGGTCCAGGGGTCTAGATAAAGCATGGCTCAATTTGTATGATTTAAGACAAATCTTACGGACTAGAGCATTAGGTTATGTAAGATGGACTGAAAGGAGGTCCTAAAGGGCCAGGGAGGATGTGAAAGAAGGCATGAGAGTCACAATAAAGTTATCTTTTTCTGAGAAGACATGCTGGTCAGTTTGGAATAACTTAAAGGTTTAACTGTACAGTGAATGTTTCTAGGCAAATTGTGGAGGTGTGACTGTGTAAACATGATACAAAGGCCAAGAAAATATGTCAGGTTGCTTTTCTTGGGTTTAGTTTCTACTTGTTTTGCTCTTCCTGGCCTTTTTTGACGTTGAGCAATGCACTGGAGTAGTCTGTTCAAAGTGTCTAGGAAAGTAATAACTCCTTTGAACAATATTTATTTCAAGCACTGTAACAGGATGTGTTACTATGAATGTGGCTTTTAAATGTATGATGGTTTTGTCACTTTATCTATAGGAACGCATATAAAGTCAGAGATGTTCATTTTTAGGTACGATTTTTAAGCAATGTTTTAGTGACTTTCTTTTGTATCTAAGTAAATTGTTAACTTCTCTTCACAGAAAACAGAGAAGTGAACAAGACAAGTGGACGACTTAACAATGGTATCCCCCAGGTTCCAGTGAAAAGAGGGGAATCGGAGTTTGATTCCTTTAGACAATCACTACCAGTTTTTGAAAAACAGGAAGAAATTGTCAAAATAATAAAGGACAATAAAGTTGTTTTGATTGTAGGAGAGACTGGATCAGGAAAAACTACTCAAGTATGTTTCTTTAATGAAATAAAAAAGATAACAGTATTTATACAAAACTACTGCCAATTTTGTAATATTTATGTAATAAGGGATTTCTTTATGCTCGTTTTAAGGCTTTTGTTTTCCTATATAGTTGAAAGTCTTGTGTTTTAATTCACTTTCTTGCTTTTGAAATACTAAGCCAGAAGATACTTACTAAAAGCAGAAATCGTTCTGCACAATTTTCTGATAGATGCTAGTTTTTCATTACTATAGTATAAAATATTGAAGAGAAAATAGCTATGATTTTTTATAGCCCTTTTTCTTCTAAAGGTAGTTCTGTTCCTAGTATCTACAGTAGAATATTATTGTGTTAAAATGAAAGATTACCTACAGGTATTTTTTTATAGGTTTCTCTGAAGCAGGAGAGAGAAGCTTCAACTTTTTTTTTTTTTTTGAAAAAGTTT